GCACTTCTGATTCTCTAGTTCCTCTATATTTTTATCTAACTTTGCATTTATATTTTTTAAATAATGGAATTATGGTGCTTATCATTTTATATAGCAGTTCTCCTTATTCGAAAGGGATGAGTTTTAAGACCTTTGGTAGATGCCTGTAACTTGCAGATGGAATGGGACTCCATATATACTGTTTCATCCTCTATATACCATCCCTACTGTAAAGTTTAATTTATGAATTGTTACAATAAGAGATTAACTGTCCATGAATTTTAGCAACATCAATATACAAATATTTTTCTTCCCTAATTAGGTAGCCTTCTCGCTTAAAGGTAAAACTTTGTACCTACTCTTTGGTTGACCGAACTGCCAACATCATTTCTCTTGTACTTTGTTAGGTAGAATCAGCATTACCTGAACACAGCACTGTGACAGTTGTGGTAGTTGATCTGACAGCCAAGATGAGTGCCAAGTGACTAGAGGGTGGGGGACATGGACTGCATGGATACCCTGCACCAAGATAACTTCGTGTTCTTGGTAGGACAGAATAGAGCTGCCTGAGATCTCATCTCACTATGATGCATGGCATTAAACTGGAAATTTGAAACTTCAGGATTATGTATTTCTATGATATCCCTTTGATATCTTTGAACCGTGATTAACCCTGGATAACTGAAACTGCAGAAAGCAAAACATGAATAAGGAGGAACAATTGTAACTTGCATGTTTTCATTTAACATATGAAAAAAGAATTTTCAACATCCTTTAATAACCTTCAATAACAGAATTTTTGAATGGCTGCATAACCATTCCATCATTTCACTATACCAAAATTATTTGGTTGACCTAGTTGGACAATTACTGTCACAGTAATGCAGCAATTAATGTCTGTTTATCTTTGATCTGATCTCCAATTTATTTCTTATGAAAAATTTTCTAAGATTTAAAATATCAATAAAAGTCATATAAACACTTTTAAGGATTTTGATGCCCATTACCAGCAATATGTAAGAGTATAGTTATAAGGCCAGGTCTGATGATGCATGCCTGTCATCCCAGCACTCAAGAGACTGAGACAAGAGAATCGCCTGGAGTTCCAGTCCAACCTGGGCTACATAATAAGTTGAAGTCCACCCTGAACTACACAGCTAGACCCTATCTTAAAAAAAGAAAGAAGAATACAGTCATATTATACATTTCATCAACACAAGTGTTACCAGCATAATGGATGAAAGAGTATGCCTCATTTGATTTCATACAATTTCAATTACAAGATTAATTACTTTACTATACTCACTTGACTTTTTCTTTTTTGAACTATCTGTTCATGATGTTTACCTATTTTCCTTCAAAGGCACTGCTGTTCATTAGTATTTTTTGAGTCTTCTTTATATGTGAGTAATATATTAAATACTGCAAATATTTTCCTAGGTTTTCATTTGTTTCTAAGTATAAAATTTTTGACACATAAGGATTTTGTTTTACATAATCAAATTTACCAAACAGTACCTTTATTATATCTCCCTTTGTTTTAAATAGTGGAACACCTTCCTCAACTTAGTATCCAATGATTCATTCATATTTTAAATATTTTATGGTTTCCAAATTTACTGTTTATTTTTTAACAAATCTGAAATGCATTTAATATATAACATTTATAGGGAGCTAATCACAGTTTTTAGAATTTTCTAACCCATCAAGTTCAAACAATAAACAGTTTTAGATTCAATGCATTATTAATATATTTTTACATCTAATAACTTGTCTTTTAAAAAACAAATCTGGAATGTGAACCTATATTAGCATGTCCTGTCCCTTGGCTACTTCCTGCAGTACAGAATCAATATGTCCTTTCACTCTTGCTTCTCATGCTACCAGAACTATAAAATAAGAGAGTCAATTGTGTGTCATATACAGAATTATAAAGAGTAGTTTAATCAGTTCAGTGTGGAACACACCACATACATCCACTTTAAAAAGTGGACTCAAATTCTCTAGCTGTTGAACATAATTTAAAATCTAAGCATAGGATGCAGTGTCATCTCTCATTTCCAGTGCAATATAGTCTGGGATTTACTTATATGCCAAAGTGGCCCCAGATCCTTCCCTAAGGCCCTGGGTTCCGATCTCCAGCTGGGTAGGTACATCTCCTGTGCTTTCCAAGTCATCGTGTCTAGCTTGTTCACAGCCCTTACCAACCTGCACTTTATTTTCTGACTTAAACGAGTCTCCCCGCTAAACCATATTGATCTCAGAAATTAAAAAACGTATGTCAGATAACATTTTATCCTTATCGCCTAGATCATAGTAAATACTCGGTAAATATCTGTTGACTGAATGAATGAGTACAAGATTATAAGAAAAGGCATCTAATCTCTTTCAGGTATCCTAATTACTAGTTATTGCAATAGTGCACAAGGTGTTTAATCTTTCTGGGGCCATGGTGCCCAATTTAGAAATGAATACTTTCAGCAAAATGATCCATTAAATTGGCTGAAGCTCAAAATTCTATGAGGATATGATCTCTACTCCCTAATACTACATACTCACACACTTGCTGTAGCTTCTACTTGGTGATATTACTTTGCTTCTACCATTTTGGGTCATCCAGACATTGTTGGCATTTCTATCATAAACCATTATCCATTTAAAGCATACTCACCTTGTTCTCCTTGAGGCTTTTCTGTAAGATCAATCACCTACATCTGCAATCTGAATGACAACATTTTAATGCTCCTTCCCATGCTAAATTTGCATGTAGCTACGTGGCTTAGAAAGGATACAACAGCGATGTGTGAAAAGAGCCAGAGGCTGAGACACTGTAGGCCTGTGCTGCTTAGGACAGACTCATCTTTAGAAAAGCATACAGCATGAGATATGACTGCATTTCTCCTCTAAAATAACCAGTCTCTCTAGTAAAGGCTTTCAGCATCATTTTTCAATTTTACAACTTTTATTGTTTCTATAATGACCAAAAGAAGTAACACAATTTTTGTAGGCACACTGCAGGGGGGATAAAGCAGGAAGAATACATTGGGAAGCCCTTGTCAAATACATTCTGATAAAGACAGGTTTATTTTTTCCAATTTTCTTTCCTGTAGCCTAGATTCTTTCAAATTATTTCTGAATTTTTTTGTAATAACTTTACTTTGAAATGATATATTTGTTTTTATTCCTTCAGAACTTGATACCATGTGGTGATATTATTTATTGAGAAATCTCAAAAATTTAGTCTTGACCTAAATATAATCATAGTTACAATACAAGTAAAAAAGAAATCTATAAATAAAACAGAATTCTATATTGCTAGTATTTATACATAAAGCCTAAGGATAGTTTTTTAACTCCACTTATATTTTCTGGCTGTCAACATATAAGAAGTACATTCGGGGAACAACAGCAATTAGAATCAATTTTCAGACACTAATGAGTATAAATTCAGGTAAGATAGAAATGTATGCTCAGTTAATAACAATAGGCAGAATAAAGTGTTTCCTTAAAAAATAAATTCCACAGTGTCATAAAAGAATTATAGTATTAAAATATAAATGAAAATGATTAAAACTGTAACTCTAATATCCCTTCAAATTTCAATATACACATTTGAACAAATAATTTAAAAAATCACCTCAAAATATCCTTTCCAAAGATATACTAGAGATGACAATTCCTGTAACAATTCTGGAAATATGGGCTCTGCCAAATGATGGACCAGTGTCTACTATTTGTGATGTTCTTCCAATATCAAGACTAAGAAAAATATTAGTATAGTCATGTCAAGTAGTTCACGTGGCTCACTGTGTATTGGATCACTACATACAAGATCAAGTGGAAAAAGTGGAAAAGTGGATCAAGAGATATGAGAAACAATCAAATTAGAAATAACACAGGTTCATTATCTAACCAACATAAGATCTTATATTATATAGGTCAATAGTAGTTGAGTAAATAAAATGCAAGAAAAATATTCTCTAAGATATTTTCTCTTGGAGTGTATGTCAATGGTTTAAAAAATAATAAATCCAGAAACCAATCCTTAATTCCCTTGTTCTCTACAAGTATTCTCTATGTTTTCCAAATAAGATTAGCCAAAAGTCTTCTGTTTTAGAAGTCTCTATAACATTTTTTTATTTCTGATCCCCAATATCAAGTTGCCTTATTCACATCCGTAAATTACCCATATAATTAAATGAATTATCCTTTCCTCTTAAAGCATATAAGCTTCAATTTATAACAAAGACAAATCAAAACTCGAGACAGCATTCAAGGTGCTCCATATGTAGATATCCAACTGGTTTCCTATTGCTTTCTCAATAGAAAATGACTCTTCAAATCTACCACAACCAGAGTTCTACAAACACATTACATTTGTTTAGGTCTACTTGTATCTGTTCTTTGTATGGTCACCCCCACATGGCAAATCCTCTTTCACTAATTTAAAGATTTTCCAGCTTATGTGAAGCAATATGCTCTATAGAAAGTCCTGCCAAAGGGTCCAGATTCACACTATTTCCTATTTTATCATATACAATGTTGGTGCTGTGAAACTTATGCTATTTTAAATTACTCAGTTGTTTTGATATAAACTAGGTAACAATTATTAAAGTTAGATGGTTTGCTTATTTATTTGTACTCTACAATATTTAGCATAAAAATAGTGAATAGCATTATTAGAAATGATAATAAAATGTCATCCAGCTTTGTTTACATATGAAAAAACTCAAGCCAAAAGTCTATCAGCTATTACAAATTTATATATGGTTTGGACTCAAACTAAAAACTAAAGTTCCATATTTCTCAGATTGTAAAGAATCCTGCAGATGGTTGCAAAATAGTAGGAGATAGGATCCCTTCTTGTGTAATATTATTAGTAATACTAAATTATGCACCTTTGATTAAAAAGGTAACACAAATACTAACTATAGAATTGCCATCACAATTAAATGTACAATATTTCAGCAAACTTAGTGATGACATTACAATCTTTTGAAAGATATACATTATTGAGATCTGGTTTAGAGCTGCGTGACTGTGGCTGGCCGAGGAAGTTGTATTTGAAGCTGTTGCTGGAAGCCTGTGGGAGACAGACAACCAAGAAAGCCAGGAGCCGAGGTCGGAGCTGCGCGGCATGGCGGACAACCTAAAGCGGTTCCTGTATAAGAAGTTACCAAGTGCTGAAGGGCTCCATGCTATTGTTGTATCAGATAGAGATGGAGTACCTGTTCTTAAAGTGGCCAATGACAATGCCCCAGAGCATGCGTTGAGGCCTGGCTTCTTGTCTACTTTTGCCCTGGCAACAGATCAAGGGAGCAAGCTGGGACTGTCAAAAAACAAAAGCATCATCTGTTACTACAATATCTACCAGGTGGTTCAGTTCAATCGTTTACCTTTGGTGGTGAGTTTCATAGCCAGCAGCACTGCCAAAACAGGACTGATTGTCGGCTTAGAAAAGGAACTTGCTCCGTTATTTGAAGAACTAGTAAAAGTTGTGGAAGTTTCTTAATCTGACTGTGATTTCAGTGCTCACCTTGTTCTCCGTATAACAACACAGCATCAATGCAGCAATCTGTAGAACATGTAATCTTTCTATCCAGGTACTCAGGAAAGGGCCCTCTGTCCACCTCCTACTAAAGAACGAGCCTCCAAGATGGCTGCATTTCCTTGTCTAAAAGCTCTTTTCTTGTTGAGTGAGATCTGTGGCAACCACGGAAATAGTTCTGACTGCACAGCTCCCATGGAGTGAGGTAGCCTGGCCTCCAGGGTAGGGTGACATTCTACCCGTGGTTCCGAATCACAGTGGCACGTGGTCTATACGTGGGCCGCCATGCTCACTTTGTACAGTGCTCCCAGGTCTTTGCATGGCAAGGACAAATGAGGACATATTTTCTTCAAATTATGCTTTATTTCATTGGATTGAGTGTGATGGAGATAAAGTGGCTTAGTAAAAGTAATAAAATCAGTACAATCACTAACTTTCGTATATGTTATTTTGTAGTGAGGGTAAATATTACTAATTGATTATGATTCTTCTCAGGATGCTGCTCTTTAATAAAAGAAAAATTATTATATCTTAGTTTTTTTTCCTGTTCTCCTTTGTATAACCTATCAGTATTTTTAATGTTTGTTCTTCATAAAATGTAAATGATTTGTTACTGAGTTTTCAATATAAGGATGTATGTAAACATGATAGTATAACCATTTTTTCATACACGAGTATGAATAAAATAATTTTTTAAAAAGAAAAAAAAATGAAAGACAGCCTAGATACATTTAGAAAAAAACCACTAAACAAAGCAGACAGTTGAACAGAGCAGAAAGATAAACATGCAACACCAGAAAGATAATATGTCAACAATAAACCAATTTATAACAGTTCTTACTATTAATGTAAATGGTCTCAATACACCAATTAAAAGAATCAGACTGGCAGAATGGATCAAGAAACAAAATCCAACCATATGCTGTTTACAAGAAACCCACTTAACTCAAAAGGATATTCACAGACTCAAAGTCAAAGGATGGAAAACAACATTCCATGCAACAGGAACCCAAAAAAAAAGCTGGGGTAGCTATTCTGTTTGCAGACAAAGTCAACTTCAAGCCAATAATGATTAGAAAGGATAAATAAGGTCACTACATACTGGTTAGGGGAAAACTCCAAGAGGAAGATATAACTATCTTAAATATATATGCACTCCAAGAGGAAGATATAACTATCTTAAATATATATGCACCAAACTCCAGAGCACCCAGTTATATAAAACAAGTACTAACAGAAATGAAAAACCAAATCAGTAGTAATACAATTCTGACAGGAGATCTTAACACACCACTGACACCAATGGACAGATCAACCAAAAAGAAAATTAATAAAAAAATAAAAGAACTGAACTGCACTTGTGAACAAATGGATTTAATAGATATTTACAGAGTATTCCACCCAACAACAACAGAATACACATTTTTCTCAGCTGTATATGGGTCATTCTCTAAAATAGACCATATGTTAATTCACAGAACATATTTAAATAAATGCAAAAAGATTGAAATTATCCCTTGCATGTTATCAGACCATAGCGCCATGAAATTAGTAATCAACGATAAAAGATATTGCAAAAATCCCACAAACACATGGAAACTGAATAACACACTCCTGAGTAATCAGTGGGTCACAGAGGAAATTAAAAAAGAAATTAAGCAATACCTACAAACAAATGAAAATACAGATACAACTTACCGGAATCTATGGGATGCAATGAAAGCTGTCCTCAGAGGAAAATTTATTGCACTGAGTTCCCACATCAGGAAAACAGAACAAATGCAAATAAATAACATGATGCTACACCTCAAACAGCTAGAAAAAGAAGAGCAAGTTAAGCCCAAAGCCAAAAGAAGAGAGGAAATTATAAAAATCAGAGCAGAAATCAACGCAATAGAGACTAAGAAAACAATCCAAAGAATCAACGAATCAAAAAGTTGGTTCTTTGAAAGAATAAATAAAATCGATAAGCCTCTAGCCAACCTTATTAAAAGAAGGGAAGGAAGAGCTCAAATCCATGCAATAAGAAATGAAAAAGGTGAAGTCACTACAGACTCAATAGAAATACAGAAGATCATCAACATCTATTTCGAAAACCTCTACTCTCAAAAGTTTGATAACACAGAAGAAATAGACAGATTCTTAGAAACATATGAAGTACCAAAGCTAGATCAAGAGGATGTAAAACTGCTGAATAACCCAATCTCTATCAATGAAATTGAACATGTAATTAATTCCTTACCTACAAAGAAGAGCCCAGGCCCAGACGGATTTACTGCAGAATTCTACAAAAAATACAAACAAGACCTAATACCGACACTCCTTAAACTCTTCAGTGAAATTGAAAGGGAAACAATTCTTCCCAAGTCATTCCTGGAAGCAAATATTACTCTAGTACCAAAACCCGGGAAAGACCCAACCGAAAAAGAGAATTACAGACCAATCTCCCTAATGAACACAGATGCAAAAATCCTCAATAAAATATTGGCAAACAGGATGCAGCAAATCATCAAGAAGATTATACACCATGACCAAGTGGGATTCATCCCAGGCATGCAGGGATGGTTCAACATACGTAAATCAATAAATGTAATTCATCATATCAATAAAGCCAAAAGTAAGAATCACATGATTAAAAAAAAGATATACATTATTTTTAAATGTTGTTCCATATTTGAAATAATTCCAAACATATGTACTAATTAATTAATATCAGTGGCAGTATAACATACAAGAAGTTTTATAATAAAGACCTGAATGTACAACATATTTAATATTGTCCTTGCTCATAGCACTTTACTTGCTTGGCTAGAAAATAAGTGAATCACCACATAAACTCATTCAAGCCAATCTATTTGCTAAAATATTTTGCAGCACAAAGGATATAAGTTCGTCTTAGACGGTAACTAATACCCGAAGGAATCAATTTTGATCAATTCAATTAAAAAATGTCAACATCAAGAGATAAAATATTGGGAGAATTTAGCGAAATCACTGTGAGTTTTTAGCAAAAAAATTGTCTAACTGCTACTGTACCAACAATGTAAAATTTATTTCCCAATGAACTCATCTAGAAAACATTGTATTTGTCAGAATATAAATGCATGCATATATGATAAGCACATAAGAAATACTAATTATGACTACTTTCTCTTACAAATAACAAAGAATTTGGATCACACAACTCTGAACAGTTTTGAATGCTTTTTGGAACATCCTCTTTCCATTTAAGAACATGCAACTGCATACAACATTAAAGGGAAAACAGGAGCAATTAATTACTTTGGTAGGGAAGAAAGAAAGTCTATCAACTCTACTTTTCATCAATGTGAAAAACAGTCTTAAATCTGGAGAGAATATTGCTTCATTCTTTTGGTCCATAAATACTAAAAGTAATACATTCTAAATGTTCGCAGTTGACAAAGACAATAATATCAAACAGCAGCCCACAATTCCCTAACGGAATGATGTCAATTGGTATTTCTTAAATTAATTCAGTGACCTACAGTAATGTGAGTTCTTGATACATAATATCTGTCAGTAGGCAATACAAAAATTTCAGAACAACTTTTAGTGTCTGAACTCCAAAATGCAAACAAAAATTATATATCTAAGGAGTTCCTGAATTCCTACTTCACCTGACATCTTTTAGTTACAGAAAAATCAGAAAAATAAAAACTATACCAGCTATAGATTGCTAGAATTACAATTTTACAAATTAATTAAAGTTTGAACCAAAATTTCTAATAATATCTAATCATCATCTCTCTGAACTAAGATATTAAAAGCCTATGAGATTCCTTTTACCAAAATTGGCTTAGGGAGCTTCATTTGTACATAAGTAACTCATGTTCAGTTACTTAATAGAAAGGTAATGCTTCAAAGGCCTCAACAAACAGAAATATTCTCATCTGGAGGATATGTCTTTTATCTCCAAACTCTTTTCCTCGGCTTTCATCATTCCCAAGTGCTACAGGTAGACATCCTCGAATGTAAAGATCAGCTAAATATTCAGAAACATAACATTCCACCTATATCATTTTGAACAAACAGGCCCACACCTTAGAGTACCCATCAAAACACACTTAAAACAATGCACTAAAAAGTGCGTGAAGTAATTGGAACTTTGCCTAAAGCAGGTGCAAATAAAAACTGCAATTAGAATTTCACACTCAAATGTCTAGAGTTAAGAGCATTTTACATGATAAACTCTAGAGAATAATTATTGAAGTATTTTATCAGATAACTAGTATGTCTAAAATGACAAGTAATTGAAATATTATCTTTTTAATTTTTTCTATGAATGGTCTGTCCACTTAAAAAACACAGGGTGAAATGAGGATAAATATAAATGGCAACCTCTTCCTATTCTGAGTTTCTATCCTGTCTTCCTTCTTCTAGCCCTGGCTGGATTATCCTTTGATTATTCATGACCTGAAAGTATCAGGTCCTATATAGCGCTATATAGAGGTGCCTTTTTTTTTTTTACTATCAAAGTCAAAAGTCAATAAACTACCTGTAAGCCAAATCCAGCACATCATCTCTAAGTTTATGTAAATAAAGTTTAACTGAAACATAGCCACATTCATAGTTTAATTATTGTTTGCAGCTCCTTTCAGATCTGAAGATCAGAACAAAATAGGACAATAACAAATACGTTCTGAGTCTTCAGAAATTCCTTCAGACAATCCCTAAGGGAGCTCACCCAGAGCCCACACTTTTAATGTAATGTAATTCTAACAACTCCCAAAATTTTATCTTCACTCTGACCTAGATTTGCATCCCAACTTCTCAAGCTGCATCTATTCTTGAATGTCAAATAGGTACACAGATTTAACATTTCTAAACCAAAAATGCAATATTAGCCACCCCCATCTATTCCTGTTTCTGGTATCACAACACAAATATTTCGTTCAACTGTGTAAACTGAACACAAGGAAATCTTCCTCAACTTGTCTTTCTCTCACAGTGTATACTTCAACCATCAAACAATGATACCTGCAAAATACACCCATAATCTGGCCACTGTTCACCTGCTCCCAACATAACTCAAACCAAGGCCATTGTTCACATGCCTCCCTGCTATGCATCTTATAAAATCTCCTTTTCAGAGCATCTAGAATGATCATGGAATTCTACTGCTGAAAAATACATCAAAAGCCAGGAAAACCACAGCCCTTTGTTGTAGCCACCTTTCTCCATCTTACAGCTTCTGCAGTCACCACACGAGCCCCCTTAACATCATCAAGCATGGTTCTGCCTTAATCTTTTTTACTTGCTGTTCTGTCTACAGAATTCTTCCACAAAATATCAAGTTAGTTTTTTTCCCTCATTTTAGGCAGGTCTGTGATAAAACATTATATCAAACTAGAGGTCTTCCTTAGTCACCCTAAATTAGTAATTCCTATCAAGTCTATAACCCTGCTACAGTTG